GTAAGTTAAATTTAAATTTACAAGGCCTAATGTTTAAGGAAGCAATAATTAATAACTCTTATGGATACAGCAAGTCAACTACATAGGTGTTTTAAAAGCTTTTTGTTCTTTAATCAAATTATAAGAAAAATATGGTGAAAATAATCTCTATCATCATTATGTCTGATGTATTTTATGCAAATCTTGTTTAAAGGAGTATTTTCCTCCAAGACAAAAATATTAAGAACCAATTTATACTCAGTCAACATAAGACAAAATCTTTTGTTGAGTCTTATCTTAGTCTTATCATTAAAAAGAGATTTAAAAGATACTGGAGTCCTTGATAAATGACCATTCGTTCAGTGACTGTTCAAAAGTACAAGAGCCTGAACAAAGGTGATTTGGGGGGGGCTATATTTGGGTGGTCACAGCATCCTTGTCGAGTGATCACACACTGGGTACTTGGCAACAAGCTCACAATTATGAATGTGATCACCATTTTTAACCTTCACTGCCTGCATCTGACAAGCGAAGTTTGTGGGGAAGCAGGCGGTTGCAAATGCCAATCACATTCATAGTCCTGCATAGTCACAGCAGCAACTGCGACTGTCATTACTGCTGTTGTAAGTTGACATGGTCATGTGATGTGTTTTATGCATCACTTAGCAACAGAGTTGCCAATTCCAATCACCACTGCTAAGTGAGGGCTTCTACTTAATATATACTGATATCCATAGCCTTTAAACAAGAAATATAGTAGTGTTACTGCTGAAAGTGAAGATACCTCCATGCTGTGATGTCATGGAGGTCAGATAACTTTCTAATTGTATCCAAAGAAGGGGCCTTTTTTTGATCACTTATATGCCATTAAAAAAACAAATGTTAAAATATATGTGTAATGGTAAAACTAAAAATAAACTAAGTGGCTCAATGATTAAAATGCAGTATTGCAGGCAAACTCTGCTAACAGCCTGGAGTTCAATCCTGACAAGGCTCAAGACTGACTCAGCCTTCTGTCCTTGGGTAAAATGAAGATCCAGATTGTTTGGGGCAATATTCAAATAATGTTTAGATTTAAACTTCCCAGAGAGTTTATAAAGCACTATGAGGCCGTTTATAAGCCTAAATTTTATTGCTGGTCATAATTTAGATCAATGGTTCCCAAAGTGCGCGGTACCGCCCCCTGGGGGGTGGAGGGATGCCTTGGGGGGCTGGCAGGGGGCGCTAAGAGGCGGCAGGGGGGCACTGGAGTTCAGCCGCACCAAAAAAAACATGCGGCGGCTGGAGGTTTTTTGCAGGCACGGGATCTGCGTAGCGCTGCAGGTGGGATTCACCCTTCCCATCCCGGAAGCGCTGCCTACATTGAGCTGCGACAGGTCCCCACATGGGCTGGGTTAAACTGGCTGCAAGGAAAGTCTCCCCAAGGAAGCAAGGTAAAAGCGCATGCGTCGCCTCGTAGTTGTGTTGCAGGAATTACATAGGGCGGGCCTTTCGGCATGTTGAGCGTTCTTGGTGGAGTTGAGTGTCGGGAGGTTTTGCTTGGTGGGCAAGGCCTAGAAGTCGTTGCGAAGCAATGTTGGGGATTACGGGAGGTAGGATGGGCTCTGCTCGTAAGCGGCTGCTGAAGGGGGGGGTGCTAAGAGGCGGCAGGGGGCGTTCGAGGTGCCGGCACCGCAGGCTCATCCCATTTGCTTTTGCACCCGAATGGGGGAAGGGGCTCAATGGCGTTGAATGCAGCGGCAGCAGCACATTGGAAAAGTCACTCTGGCTTTGCTCTACTTTTCTAAAGTGCCGCCGCTGTCGCATTCCATCTGTCTGTCCATACATCCAAAAGGTCTATCAGTCTGTATGTCTGCCTGCCTGCCTTTCTGTCTACCTACCTACCTATGCATCCATCCATCCAAAAGGTCTCTGTCTGTCTGTCCTCCTGCCTGCCTGCCTGCCTGCCTACCTACCTACCAATATATCTACCTACCTACCTACCTATCCATCCATCCATCCATCCATAAGGTCTGCCTGCCTGCCTACCTACCAATATATCTACCTACCTGTCTCTCTCTCCCTGTCTCTCTCTCTATCTATCCATCCATCCACGTTCGAAGCGTCGGCACATCAGGAAAGTAGAGCAAAGCCAGTCTGGGAGGGAGGGAGGGAGAGAGAGAGAAACCTGATGCATCAGATTGAAATGATGCCTAGTTTAGACTGAGGTCCTTTTCCACATTGAAACATCTTTGGCTTCTATTAAAGGTTTTGTGGACAAAACATGGTCAAGACTATCAGGAAGCTCTCACATTTTGTTGAGGCTTTAAACAGGATCTATTGGATCAGATCTTCACCCTAAAAAACATTTTCCCCAATGTATTACAGTGCCAATTCTGAAGGCAAAACCAAAATGTACTGGTAAATTACAAGAACACACACACACACACACACACACACTCCCTTCTAACCCTGCTGGAGCAGGTGATTGGACTAGAATAGATATCTCATTATCTTTCTCCTCCCTCCTTCTTTATTTCTTTTTATTTCTGTCCCTTCCTTCCATCCCCCCTCTTTGTCTGTCCCTTTATTGTTGTTTCCCTTTTTTCTTTTCTTCCTTCTCTCTTTTTCTCTCTCTCTTTTTTTTCTCTCTCTCTTTCCCTCTCTCAAGCTCACCCCATTGACTTGGTGTACCGCTTCTCTCGGACTTGCTTGGGCAGGTCCCTCCAGTGCAGCAGGCTCAATGGGATGGACCTGCGGGGCCAGCACCTAGAACATGGCAGTGGCGGCACATTTGAAAAGTAGAGCAAAGCCAGAGGTTGGTAATTTTTGCTGCAAAGAATCACAAAAGCTTCTGGGCTGTGCACAAGAAGGGACACACATGTCAGTGCAATTCAGCGACATAAAATAAAGAAATACAAATAAAACAAATCAACAAGAATCGGCAAAGCATCTCTGAGTAGATTCTATTCACTACTAGAATCTAATCAGAGATGCTTTGGCAATTCTAGTGCAATGATCTGCTCCAGTAGGGTTAGAAGGGAGTGTGTGTGTGTGTGTGTGCGTGCGCATGTCTGTCAAAACTCCAAAAACAGGTCAAGTAGTTCTGGGGAGGCAAGTCATAAATTAGAACACTTGCTAAACAACCAGCCATTAAGTGAGGACCACTTGTATTTGGTTTGCCAGTTACCTAGCCACGCCCGCCCAGTCACATGACCACCAAACCACACCTACCCAGTCATGTGACCAGCAAGCCATGCCAGCCAGTCACGTGACCAGCAAGCCATGCCCACTCAGTCACGTGACCAGCAAATCATGCCCAACCAGCAAGCCAGCCAGTCACGTGACCAGCAAATCACGCCCACTCAGTCATGTGACCAGCAAGCCATGACCTCAAATTAGGTCACACCCACAGAAATTTGAATCCCACCTCTGGGTGGGGGGCACCGAGGATGAGTTTGTAGCACCAAGGGGGCGGTGGACTGAAAAAGTATGGGAACCACTGATTTAGATAAAGAAAATGTTTCCATTAAAAAGCACACCTTAATATCTTAATTAACATTTTACTTAAAGTAACCTAAAAGTTATCATCATAGCATTATAACATAAGGCTAAAAATTTACTTAATGGCATTCTTATTCTAATAGTGGCACCTCCCTAAATAATACAGATATATGTAGCAGTAATACAGAAAGTAGAAAAGCATACAAAAAATCCATTTATGAAATGATATGAAATAATCTCCCTAAATTTTCTTCTTGTTCCAAGTCACTGAGAGCCTCTTCGCAGATTTCCATGGCCTTAAAATGTACATCAATTTCATATTTTAATGCTAAATTGTATTAAGATAAGTGGAAAATCACTGCAGGTAACAGTTATTATAGGCGGTAGCCAAAGCATCAGGACTTCTCTCCTAATTAATCAATATTGATGTAGCTAACTTATCATTAACGGCAAAAACCAAAATGATGTGCTTGCTGTATTTTTTTCTAATTTCTATATTAACTCTATTTGAATGAAATCAAACTGTCAATCAGTGCCCTTCTCTATTTGTAAAATTCAGATATACTCAGGGGTGGGCTTCAAAAAATTTAGCAACAGGTTCTCTGCCCAGTTGCTGGGTGGACTAGGCCACGGTGGATGTGGCCTAGTCGGCCTCCTTCATCACAGAAGGGAGGCCATTTTCGCCCTCCCCGAGCTCCAGAGGCTCTCTGGAGGCCTGAAATGGTTCCATTTCTGGCTTTCTGGAGGCCCATTTTTCATCCTCCCAGAGCACTTACCTGGGATCGAAAACAGGCTATGTGGAGACTTCTAGGAGCGGCAGAGTGAAGTGGGCGGGGCCAGCCAGTTGTTGCAACTACTGGTTTGGCGAACCAGATGTAAAATTAACACCTGGCCCTCCCAAACCGGTGTGAACCGGTAGCAGCCCACTCTTGGGTATTCTTATCCTAGATGCTATTATTATTACAATGTGCAGAGTTTTAAAGCCTTCAGTATGAATACAGAGTTACTGTTTCTAAAGCAATTTTATTAAAATACAGTTCTTATAGAAAGGATGTATTTTCAGTTGAGGTTCTAAACTTTTCCTTAAACATATAGAAATCGGTTGCTTCTGATGGATGGTCTTAAGTAAAACCAAAACAATATCTGTCTGGATATTTGTTGATGAAGATACATCTAATTTAATGTGTGTGTGTGTGTGTGTGTGTGTGTGTGTGTGCGTGTGTGTGCAGAATCATAGCTAAGATAGAACTGTGATAGCTTCAATAACTGCAAGAATCAATACCAATAACATGTAGTAATTATTTCATGCTATTAACATTTCAAACTATGTCATTTTAAAAAAATAGAATGTTTGGAATTCCAAAACCTCCATGCAAAAATTTTCTGCAGTGCAATACAATTTGAGAGATCACTGCTACACACTCACACATAAGTGACTTACTCAACCACAAAAATACATACAAATAAAATGCTGCCTACCTCTCAATTTAAATATATTATCTACATGTGGAATGTAGGCAATCAGAAATTGCAAGTACCTGTAGACGCTGATAAGTCATTTCCATGAACATGCTTGTTACCTGAATTTGAAAAGATTCAGGTTAGTGAAGGGAGGAGCACAACTTTTTTAAAAATTGTACCCCACACCTAACTACAGAATTTTACTTATGAAAACTAGAAAATACTCTTGCTTTGGGATTAGCACAACTGAAAGGATCTCCCCCCCCCCCCCCCAACTAAATGAAAGCTTACATTTAAATGGACAATGGTTTTGAATCTGCTGGTAAACTATTTTAGGTTGTTTGCTTCAAATTATAACCTCCAAGTATTAGGTTTAACTAGAGGTGTTTTTATTGTCACTACCAGAACAGATATATTAAAACTATCAAAACTAATAATTAATCATGTACAAGATTCTTCAAATATTTTCCGATCAATGAAACCTGGGCAGAATATTCAAAGCAAGTCTAATGTGACTTAATAAAGAGAAAATCTCAAAATACAGAAGATGCAGTTGAGTCTCTTTTTCACCTACTTCTTGTATTTCCTCTTCCTAAGATTTCTTACCATTTGTCAAAATTTACATAATTATTTGAAACTTCAAAAATCCATCCAATTCAAGATGCCAAGTGCACTTTACTAAGTTGGATATGATGCCAAAAAGTTATTTAAATTTACAAGGGCAATATAAGACCAAATGCATTAGCTATGGAAATTTTCCTCATGTCATGAATTGCTGCCATAATTATTTTATCTATTTTTCATAGAATAGATGTATAGCAGCATAATGTTTTATAATGGTGCATAAAAGTTTATTTGGCTATAATTTATTTTTATTTTTTAGCTATAACTATACTTCACTGAAAATCTCTTAGTATGGATTCAAGTTGCTTAAAGCAGTATTTTGAGAAATGATTATAATATACTTTAAATGAGAAAATGATATTTCACCAGCAGTTTTACATTACACTGGTGTTTGGCAATATGTCGATGAAGATTCGTAGTAGTTGTCTTGAAGTTGAGTCATGGAAACTAAGAAGCTACTTGAATAAGCAGTGAAAAATGTTTCAAACCACAAAAGAAAACAAGTTCAGTTGCCGTGACTCAACTTCCAGGTTACATTGGTGTTGTGTTTTTTTACGGAAATTAAGCCACATATATCAAGCATACACAATATTTTCAAAGAATGTACACATCTTTAATGTACAGACTCATGCATTGCTTGGTTCAAAAGTTGCATAGTCTTGCTTTTCACAAAGCTCAGGAAGCTCAAAATCTCCTAAAAGGAATTATTACTATTAGCAATTAACAATGGTTTCTGTATATAAAAGATCTGTAGTGTGGTAAGAAATAGGAATCCATATTAATGTAAGAAATAGAAAGAATCTTTGGTAACAGATTAAACAGAATGGCTTGTTTTAAATTCAACTGAAATAGATAATCCATTTAGTAACAAGATGACCTACTTTAAAACAAGTGAAGTACTGTGTTGGGATAATGCTAAGATGGTTTTTAAATGTTTTTTACTGCCTAGCTGGGAATATTAAGCATTATACACTGGAATAAAATATTTAATTTTATTCAACTATACTTGGAAAAAAGGGATTGCAATTATTAAACTATAAAATCTTTTAAAATAGCAAAATCATGTATGTGTATTTACTTATGGATTTATAATATTGTATTTCCTGTATGTTTCAAGTATATTTTTACTTAGGAGTGAAAAAGATGCCAGTTTTTAAATCACTGTATTTTAAAAAGCCCAGAGAAGAATTAGCAGGATTTTGAAACAACTGCAAGTCCAGTTCCAGAACATGACAAGTAACAGATCTTATCAACATTGCCAGCACATTGCTGCTGCAATTAACATCTTTGCTATTAATGTTTGCAAAGGTAATGAAGAAGCATCTTGACAATAAAACTGATCAGAAATGGCATCTGCTTCTTTGAAATTTTAAATACTTTGGAAGCTCTTAATATGAACACTGGAGGCATGTGTGGTAGAGTTTTGTCATTAAGTAATAGAAAGCAAATATGATGCAAATGCTCTCAATAATTCATGCTTTTATATTCTGATCATTTTTCTGATGGTTTATAAAAATGTCCATATTTAGAATTTATATATTTAAGTACACATACAATCATTTTCAGAAGATACAAATGTGACATCTTTCTATTTATACATATATGTAGATTCTAAAATTGCAATTGGGAAAGCATTCAAATGACAGCCTAAGTTGACTTAAAATAAAAATATTTTGAAAAATACAGGCAAGCATGGAAAAAAGTTATCAGTTAAATATTCCTATGCCATTCAAGATCCAGTGATAGAACACTATATGCAGTTTTGTGTTTTACAATGAAAAAAATAGTTTGCATTTGTTAAAATCAGTAGACCTTTTTTAGCCTAAATATGTGGACACTGAAAGTTTTCAGAATTGCTCGCTTCTATTTTTTCACTAAAACAAAACAAAAACCTATGGAAATGTTATAAAATAACTTTTTATTTGCTAAGTATTCAGTAACAAACTTTGATCTACAATTTAATTTACTCATGATCAATATTTTAAAAATAATCTTCAGAAACCATATTATCTATATACTACTATAACTCATGTTTAATTGAACAAAACACTGTATCACAAGGCAAAACTTTGCCAACAAAGGTATCTCAAAGAAATTACAAAAAAGTCTGGACATCTCACAGACGGGAGTAAATATTCTATTAAATCCCCATTACAATGCCTCCACGAAAACCAAATATGTAGAAAAAGATGAAATATGCTTTAATTTGATGTCACATTATTTTTACATCCATAGATCCAGAACTAGCAAAAAAATCCATGGCATTGGTACTACATAACACAGCCAACTTCATTAAGATCGAAATATCTGTTTCACTATCTGCTTTCTGTTTGAAAACTAACACACTGCAGTAACCCAGAATACTAGAAAAAGGAAACAGACCACCTACACAACATTTTCCAACAAAATGGATATCCACACAACTTTTTCAGAAACCGCCTTACCACTCAACCCACTATAGCACAACCAATACAAGCTTGCAGTGTGTGCCTCTAGAGCCATTCTTCCTCCAGACTCTGGGTCCTTGGTTTCCAAATGAGATGCAAAAGTTGCTCTCATCAGAAAAGAGGACTGTGGACCACTGAGCAACAGACCACTTCTGTTTTTCTTTAGCCCAGGTAAGACAGTATAAAGTACAACTCCTCTGCAATTAAAAATAAATGATTATACAACATTCTTGTGACTACGTTCATATCTTTCTTACACATTCCAATAATTCTAGGCACATAATTCCTAATCCATACATCTACTGGAAGCAAGGGAAGAAAGATCTATTTTCCTTGTCAAAAATATCAGTCCCACCATTTGTAAGCATCCCACTCTTCCCCTCTTCCTCCTGCACTGCTCCTGCATCTCTTTCCTTGCACAAAAAGTATACTGACTTTACCAATGCTCTGAGGAAAAAAGAAGCAGTTAATTTGCCTCTTCATTTAACTTGCACCATCAACTAAAAGCCCCCAGCCCAGCTCACAGGCTATTTTAAATGAGTTTCCAGACTACAATTTGAAGGAAGTTTTTATTTATCCTTCTTTCTACATCTCCAGCCTCTGCACCCCCATTTTTCTGCACCAAAGAAAAATAAATTCTGGCAGCAATACGCAATTGTTTCTGAGGTTTTATTTTTGATGTGTTGCCTGGAGTGCTGTTGTGTAATAATTCTGCAATTTGTTCTTGTCTATTTTGTTGTATTTTGTTTTTTATATTTTTCATTATTCTGTCAGCTGCCAATAGTCACTTGGAGTTGCGCAATTTTAAAACCAAGTTAACAAACAAGTAAATATTACAGGCTTCCTAACCCTGTAACCATTACAAAACAGAACCCACTGCCTCTTATTTCAGATCTGATGGACAGACAGTCTTTACTCACCTAATTGGACTTATGAAGAAGCACTTACAATTAGATCAAAATGAATGTGAATTGTGAATATAATAGTGTCTGATACTAAGTGCAGCAAATTTGAATACATAATATGAATTGGTTCATTGTTCAGCTGTCTTCTTCAGGTTCATGAAGAACACACTTTCCAATATTTTGCATAAATAAGTGGTAGTGCACCTGAATAACATCCTGATTCCTTTTCAGAAGACCATCCTTAAATGAGACTCACATTAGAACTGTCTTGGAGCAAATCTATGAACACAACTTTTTGGCTCAGTTGGAAAAATATGTATTTAATTTTCCCCAAAAGGAGTATTTGGATTACTTGCCTTTTCGTTTTATTATAGATTTCTTCTTCCAACTAAATGGAACTGTGTTGTTGTTTTTTTAATAAAAAGCTTCTGGTTGCAACAGTAGCATTTAGCAAGAGAGACATTTTTTGGAGGATGCAAACCATCCAGTACAGGTACACACATATTGCAAACATTTGGAGCACATTTACAAAATCACAAAGTTAAGATCTTCAATCCACATCAGATGACAAGGGCATAATTTTCCTTCAACTTTTAGAATGCTTGACTCATAGAATAGCCAGGTACATCATTATCATTATATTTTAAGGATGAAATGTAAATACTATCAATATTGCAGTTACTTTTTCTATGGTAATTGTGGTACAATTAGATAAAAATATATATTTCATTATTATTAATTATTATATATTACATTACATACATTAAAACAATCTAAATCCACAATGGAAGTTAATGATAAATAGACTTAACCTATGTTTTTTTCTCACCTTATCTAATCTTAAAACTTACCTCCATTGCCTGTGCCAATCGTTCTTCCAAGGCCATATAAGTAAGGAACTGGGGATCCACATACGAAATTGCTTGAGCAACCCCAAGACCATCCCCAAATTCATCAAGCAGCCTACAGGGAAAATATAGCGTTATTTTTTTTATATCTAAGTAGAGTTGAAAACATGTGCAGTGATGCTGAAAAATGTTTCTAAATAAATATGACCTTACATTATTTATACATGGTGAAAAAAATAAATTTCTGCTATTTTACATTCAGATATAAAAATAAATAGAATGCAAACAGTAAGATATTAGCTGTTTAATGAGGCTACTTCTAGAATTATCAGGACATTAGTGAATTGAGTGACAAGCTGAACACAGCCTTGCAGGAAAACTCATTTATCCCCATGTGAGATGAGATCCAACATATGAGTTCAATTCTTGAGACTGGAATGACATAGACATAGCAAAATAATATTTTCTTATTTTGTGTCTCCCACCTCTTTCAGCGTTCTAATTTTCTAACTTTTTCAACTTACTCAGATCTCTCTCAAACCATTAAGCATTTAATCTGTGTAAAGGATGACAATCAAAGAGCAAGGGGCAACTACTTTAAGCCCAGTTTGGCTCTGATGCCCATCATTGTCATATATTTCTGACATGACATTAACAAGAAGTTCTTACATCTATCATGGAATAAGGGTTTCATTATGCAATTCTATTTTAAATAAAATATGAGCCAGGTATGTTCCCAATCACCATTTAGCTGGGTTAAAATACCAAAGGTAGCAGCAGAGTCTACCAACCTCCATTCAACATCTAGATCTTCACTCATACTGGAATCATCTTCTAGATTGTTGTTCCCATCCAACATAAAAAAGCCAGGATGTACAAAATGGCTATCTTGATCATTTTCTTCATCACTGCTACTTTCGATTTCTTCATGATACTGCAACCAAGGAATCTCTCCATCCTCTAGCAATGTCTGTTCCCTTTATATAAAAATGAAAAAAGTGATACAAAATATAGCAAATATTAAATTTACATGTAAACAAACAGTATAGAAAGTACAGAATCCTTTATTTATGCTGAGTGCTAACAGTCAAATACCTGCAATCTATTTTCAAAAGACATCACTTTAAAAATAATAGACAGCACAGTTCAACAGTGCAGCTAAAATGTGATGCTTTATGAACTATATTTATATGTGACATGTATATATATTTTATCTTAAGATACACCACAGCATACAGCACAGCAATAACCCAAAATGTTTATTATGTTTTTTTTAAATAAACAGATATTGGTTTTTGCTATGCTATAAAGAGAATGCAAGGTAATAATTTTATTCTGCTGGGGACTGAAGAAAGAAATACATTTTACTTCTATGGCTGCCCTTCTTAGATACATAACTCTGGACAACTTAACAGTTCACAACAACAACAACAAAACAAGCCAAAAATCCCTGTAATAAAACAATGTTATAGTTAAAAACAGCCAAAATATTTATATGATCTGAAAAGAGACCAGTGTAAACAAAGACTCTGCCCCTGTGGAGAAAATTCTATGGAGAGTTCCTGAAACCGTAACTTTTATACTGCTGCCATCACAAAGGTTTCCAGTGGAAGCTAACACTGCCCTAGATTTCCAGGCAGCCTAGATCCAATGTATTTATAGTTGCTATTATCAAATCAAATTGTATTTATTTCTCTTAACATGGTTAACCTTTGTGTACTAAATAAGTATCACACCAATTGTATAATTATTGGGTACTTTTGTGATTATTTCTTGCTGCCTTACATTTAATGTTTTCATTTTGTTTCTAAGCTGATATGTGATTGTAATGGGAGCCAGTTTGGTATATGAGTTAAGGCATCAGGCTAGAAAACAGGACACCGTGAGTTTTAGTCCTGCCTTATGTACAAAGCCAGATCGGGCCAATCACTTTCTGTCCGCCAGAGGAATAAGCAAATGGTAAATCTCTTCTGAAAAATCTTGCCAACAAGCAGGGACTTGACCAGGCAGTCTCACAGAATCAGACACAACAAACAGAGGAAAATCAATGAAGAAAAGGAATGTAATAAATAAATAAAAAGTAAGGTTCTACATTTAGACAAGAAAAACAAAATGCATAGGTACAGTATAGGTGATACCTCACTCAATAGTGGTAACTGTGAGAGGAATTTGGGTGTCCTAGAGATTGAACAACCACTTGTCTGAAATGTTATAGAGTTTCCTGCCTAAGCAGGGGGTTGGACTAGAATACCTCTAAGGTCCCTTCCAACGGTTATTCTATTCTAAAACGTCTTTCTTTTTATGTAGTTATATTAGTCCAAAACAAAAAGAAACCAAGCTTTCCTACTACAAATGCACATTACAAACTAATGTAATTGTTGGACTGTAACATCTGTGACCTAATGCCTGAATAAAAAGCCAAATCTTACTGATTCCAATGCAATTTCCCCTAAAATGGTTCATATCCTATGAACTGTCTTCCCATAAATGAATCTTCATATTTGCTCTATTTCCATTTTCATTAAGTTTTATATTTTTTAAGAGCAAAAAAAATAAATCATTAAGAGAAATCATTGACTTTAGTGACACCATGTTACTATATGATTAAAGTCCTGTCAGTTACAGGCAACTGTACGCAGGCTAATTAAGATCACAAAGGTGACTTGTTAACTTGCAGTTAGCACTTTTTAAGGAAGTGCTACACTGCTGAGAAAAGCAGCTCAGGAAGAGATTTTGTTTAGGCAATCTCTTCACTGTGAGGGGAAGATAAAGAAAATGGGTCAGGCACAGAACAACAATGGCAATTGACTGTAATGGCAAATGTGATGGAAAGAGAGAAATGTTGCAAAGGTAATAAATGTGGGCATTGATTGCAAAGTTACATTTTCATCTTTATAACTCCAAATATTTGCTGACTGAGGAAGTTGCTAAGCAAGAACTGCCTGGAATATTGCGATATTTCAGAATGCATGTGAAGCAATTCCCTTTGTTTTACCCCCAATTAAGAATGCAGGTTTCTCCTTTTTTGTTTATTTCTCTGAAGTGTTTAATACTTTTAAAAATGCTGTGCTCTTTTGGCATTTATGACAGTAATCCAAATGGCAAAAAAACATAAAATTGTACATTACCAAAGAGGAAAAGCAAGACAGTAGTATATATATTACAGAACTCCTTGTTAATTACTGAGGAATAAAACAAGAGTATAATATATTGTAAAAATGTATTTTATGGAAGTCTAAATTTTTCTGTGGGGGTGATTCTCTTATGAATTATTCCTTCAGTTACATTTGCCATTTTGTAAACCAGTCTCATTTCATGTGGTGATGGGCCTAGTGATTAGTTACACGATGAGCCAAACGATGCATCTTCACAATCCTTACATATTACTAGAAGCATTCCTTATTAGATAGCATTAATTACATATAAAGACTTAAAAATATAAAAAATAGTGATACCATAAACCAGTTTTAATGAGCACATAGCTGGTTATTCCAGAGTCAGTTGTAGTGAAATAGATTTAGTTTGCTGTGCTTCCTTATGCCCGTGTACTGCTCCTACTCCTCTTAGATGTTTTAAAAATTCCTTTTAGATTTTTGTTTTATATTTTTAACTTTTCATATGTAATAACTTATTCTGATGTTTTTATACTTTTTAACTGTATCCCACCCTCTTATACTGGTCTTTGCCTGTAATAAAAAGATTTGATTTGATTAGTGCACAAAAGGATTTGCCCTTTTATTCCATAGCTGTTTAAGCTTAATAAGAAGTCTTTGAAAAGGGACATTATCTAGGGCTTTTTGAAAACTCTAGACAGTTCCTATTGGTTCATCTTTCCACATACTTATTAACACCCTCCAAAACCTCTGTTCAATTAATTAGGTAAGACTTTCCCTTAGCAAACCCATGTTGGGTATTCCTAAACATAGCCTGTGTCTCCAAAAGTTTGGTAATTTTATCTTTACCAGTGGTTTCCACTAACTTCCTTAGAACATATGTTAAGCTGACAGGCTTCAACTCCCTGTAAGGCTTTATTAAAAGTAAAGACCCATTAGCTAACTTTCCAGTCCACCTCAGAGCCCAAGTATAAAGACAGGTTGCATATTTTAATTAACAGGTCTACAATTTCAACTTTAAAATTCTTAATAAACCTTGGGTAGATGCCATTCAGGCCTGGTCATTTGTTAATGTTCAATTTGTCAATAAGATCTAGCACTTCTGTTATCACCAATATGTCTCAATTCTTTTGATTGTTTTCCTGAAAACAGAAACTTGGGTTTAGGAAAGAGATTGCAAAAAGCACAATCTCTGAGGCTGTCATAACTTGAATGGTGGTACTTGTTTGTAAGTTGAGGGCTACCTATGCAAGTGTTCTACACTCATGCGGTCTGTCTACCATCATAACTATTCTAGAAGTTATATATTTATTTAAATGTAATATATGTTTAGCCTGTTTTAATATATGTTGAAAATATGATTTTAAGTTTTTGTTATATTAGAGTTTTTAAAATTTAAAATTTGAACTTTAGCCCCTCTTCTCTCTTAAGGGTTCTCTGATTCTATCGTGATTGCTAAGGGCAGAAAGCTCAGCAGTTATCTCAAGTCAGAAAAGCATTTTAAAACTGCACCAAACACAGGTATATCTTCCCCCTAAAAACCGCACATTTAATTTCTTAATCCATTTGCCTCCCCTTCTTATGACCAATTTCCACCCAATTTCTCTGTTTCTCCTTTGCTCTCAGCAAAACTGTATACATACAGTGCAATATAATGCTGGAGTACACAACATATGAACATATATATATATATAAATTTTCTACATTGTGTATAGACTATACAGTACGTATAGTATAGCACAGATTTTTGTTTTTGAAAAATCATTTTATTATTAGAATGACATACCGTGATTGGAAACCAAATTCATTATGTTCCTCTTCCAGACCACTACTATCACTCTGCTCTTCAGGTTCCTGTTCCTCTTTGCCTGGAAGTGTCTCCCAGCTTTCATCACTGGAGGACTGATCTTTCACAGTCACAGAAAAATAAGAAGGCAGGGATGCAGACCATTCACCATCACTGCATTCTGAGCTGCAATTTGAGAGAGTCCAGTTGCACTTAAAGATTGATAAGAGTTAATATTTGCCATGATTCAATCGAGCTGAGCATAAAATGGAAACGATCCAAATGCATGTCTAGCTTTCCCTTTGGGTATGGACATGCTCAATTTTGGATGATTCTGTCCATACAAGTAAGGCTATAATTTCCTCCTAAAATCATATTACAAAAAAGAAATACAAATTCTCCTAGGAGAGACCAAACAGAAAAAGCTACTGCTTCATTCATCCAGAAATCCTAATCTTGCCTCCTATTAAAGAAATAACATAAAATATTTGTAATCTGATGGGAATGTTCTGAGAAAGGAGCACCAAGAAAGTTAGGATCTATTTTATTAAAAATCCCCACTCGGGTATTACACTTTAGATTCCTCAGCAGCAGACTAGACTGGCATAATGCAAAGAAAAATACTTTCTTTAAGCTCATTTCTGATATGAAAATGTATATTTAATATAGGACTGGCAATAAACATCTTTTAGGCTTCTAATAAACATGTTGAGAACATGATGAAACAATCAATTTTATGGACATTCATATATTGATCTTTTTTTCTTCTTATACATATCTAAATTTTAAACAGAAACGGCAAATAAATAATAAATGAGCAGGCAGATGGTATCTTGCTAGCATCAAATATGCTAAACGTAATTTGTTCCTTTGAACATCCTAATTATCAACCATATCATAAGGAGCTAGATACAGAATACAAATTCCTGAATATTTTAAGCTTTTATTTTTATATATAAATTATGATCTTTGTACTATTTGTCATTTATCCCTTGTCCTCAACATTACATAATCCCAGTTCTGAACTATTTGCTAACAGGACACCACTGTAAAATTCCAGTACTTTCCAATTACATTTAAAATCTAAAGCCTTTTCCTAATGATATTGGACAGCAATGACTTTAAGCACTAAGGGAATGATTAATAGGAAACTTGGAGTGCTGCCAGTTTTAAGACATATAATGACTACTTCCATTATTTTCTATTTTTCTTGATTATTAAATAACTTACATCACAAAGGAGATTCAACATACAAAACAAAAGGGATATAAATCTAATGTAATAATAATATGGATAGAAAAATAGCATTGGTTTTTGTTTAAACAAATCTTGAAAATTTCATTTTCATTCAAATCTAGGCAATATTTTTACTATAAAATACTTTTATCATCCTAAAATTATGAAACTAAAGCCTTCTCATTAAATATTAAAACCATAGACACAATTTCAGAATATTTATGCTTGTGTTCCAAATCCACTATCCCCTTATTTTAGGTATATACAAAAAAAAATATCTCAATCAGTTTGAGACTTCTAGAAATTCTCAACCTCCATCTTAGGCTTCCAAAATTTTCTTTGTATTATTTGAAGGTATGTTTCATCTTCAAGAGACCCCAACTGTACACAATGGGATATTCCTCACCCACAAGGAAAGCGAGGCAATAACCTGGGAGAAAGGTTGGAGTAATGTATTAATCTTAGGTTAATGTTTCTTTCTTTGGAAGCCAGGTTCAAGGTACAAAGCAAACTGAGCATTTATCAATTCTTCAACACAGTTTTAAAGAAGGAGGAACATTTCTGGCAGATTCCTATTTGACAGAAATATAGTGAAAAGTAAGAAAATGCATTCAAATATTCAGGAAAAATATTGTAAGCACTGATCTAACATCAATACCTGGGAAGATACTGGAAAAGATAATTAAAAAACAGATCTGCCAACACTAGAAATAAGTGAAGTAATAACTACCAGTCAGCACGGCTTTGTTAAAAACAGATCATGCCAAATCAATCTTATTTCATTCTTCAACACAGTGACTAAATAAGTAGACCAGCGAAATATTGTGGACATAATATACTTAGATTTCAGCAAGGCATTCGACAAAGTAGACCACAACCTACTTTTTGGTAAGCTATAAAAAAGTGGGAAAGATAGCACCACCACCAGATGGATTAGCAACTGGCTGACAAACGGTACTCAACAACTAGTCCTTAATGGGTCTAAATCTACATGGAGGGAAGTAAGCAGTGGGGTGCCACAAGGTTCCATCTTAGACTCTTCAATATCTTCATTAACGACTTAGATGAGGAAATAGAAGGGGAACTTACCAAATTTGCAGATGATACTAAGCTGGCAGGAATAGCTAATATCAAAGAAGATAGGCTCAAGATCCAGATGGATCTTGACAGACTAGAACACTGGGCCGTATCTAACAAAATGAAATTAAATGTAGAAAAAAGTAAAGTCCTACACTTAGGCAAGAAAAACCTAACATACACATATGGACTAGGTGAAACCAGGCTTAATAGCAGTAGCTGTGAGAGGGATCTTGGAGTCTTCGTCGACAACCAGCTAAATATGAGCCAGCAGTGTGCAGCAGCAGCCAAAAAAGCTAATGCAATCCTAAATTGCATTAACAGAGGGATACAATCAAGATCAAGTGAGGTACTAATACCACTTTATAAAGCCTTAGTAAGATCACACCTAGAGTACTGCATCCAGTTTTGGTCACCACATTATAAAAAAGATGTTGAGACTTTAGAAAAAGTACAGAGAAGAGCAACCAGGATGACTTGAGACTAAAACATATGAAGAACGGTTACAGGAACTAGGCATGGCTAGTCTAGTGAAGAGAAGGACCAGGGGAGACAGGATAGCAGTTTTCCAATATTTGAAGGGCTGCCACACAGAGGAAGGGGTCAAGCTATTTTCTAAAGCATCCAAAGGCCAGACAAGGAATAATGGATGGAAACCGAACAAGGAGAGATTTAAGCTGGAAATAAGGAGAAACTTTCTGACAGTGAGAATAATCAAAACCAATGAAACAGCTTGCCCTCGGAAGTTGTGGGAGCTCCATCACTTGAGACTTTCAAGAAGAAATTGGACTCCCATCTGTCAGAAATGGTGTAGGGTCTCCTGCTTGGGCAGAGGGTTGGACTAGATGACCTACAAGGTCCCTTCCAACTCTGATTATCTGTTATGTATTCCATTCACCCCAAAAAATCTTCCTAGTTCATTACGAAGTATCATAATCCTTTTTTAGTGATTATGTAAGATGAACCTTCCCTGCAACTTAAGTTTCAGAAGTAGTTTTGGCAGATGTAACATTTTAATTTGAACATATTAATACTACTTAATCATATGTCAACAGGTTGTACAGTTTTGTATAATCTTCAGCTTAATCAAACCTAAGAAGTGCATTAACACTGCATTTCCACAGTTCAAAACAAATAGAACACAATGGAAAGTCTTGAAGAATAAAACTAATTAAATGAAGGGGTGGTAATTGTTTACCTTGTACTTGCTCTGGAGGGTTTCCCAACCCTTTGGACCAACTTTTGAAGGTCTGAGAATTAAGAGGAAAACTCTCTTAACCCGGGACTAAGCAACTTTCAGAAAAGAGATTTTTTATGCTTTTATGTTTTGTGTTTATGTGTATTTATGTATTGTTTGTCTTGAAAATAAAACTTGTTTTTTTTTTAAAAAAGAAAGAAAACTCTCTTTGATCGTATGAAGTCGAATATTACCTATGCATTTAATCATGTCTTACACTTTTCAGTTCTTCATTGTTCTGCATTTTTTACCTAACTACAGAGACAGTCCTGCACATAGGCAAGTTGCTATCAGATGCCAATAATATAAAATTGTTAAATGCTCTTAGGATGTTTAAATAATACCACTGAAGAAAAAATTAACATTTATGCTATTTCGTTGTTAATGTTCAATTCAGAGATCATTGAGCAGAATTCTTATGTAACAGTCGTCTTCTTACTTTTCCCCTCAAAAATTACTTCAAAAGATTAATGGATTAGCTATAATCTTAAAAACTTAAGATTGTAACGAGTGGTGGTATTCCTCTGAACACATTTGAGTGCTTTTCTATTCCAGTGAGATTATTTGGGATCCAAGCCGTGTTGTTATAGAAGTCACCAAAGTATTCTTCTTGGTAGAAGAAATTTATTTCCAAAAACAAAAGTACTGCAAACCACATTTTTGTTTAATTTCTCAAAACATTTATTTGTTTGTTTATTGATAGAAAAAATTAGATGAATACATTTAGCTAAAACTAAATGGATTGTAATATTTAAAGGTATAGTGCCTGATCCAGCCACTTGTAAGCACAACACAAAATTGGAGGAAATACTCAGTATCCTTATAATATCTGAAAAGAAATTAGAACACTGCAAAGTTGAGGATTAGGGAACTTTTTGGTCAATTTAAAATTTACACATATTAACCAAAAATATTCAAGTATTTGGAAAATGTAAAATTAAACTTTTTTTAAAAAAACTTACCTGTCATCTTCATCTTTGTTGGAACTAGATAGATTTCTACCACAATCTTCAAATTCGTCCCAGAAAGCACTATCATCTATTTTAATTTTTTCTTGAAGACTTGACTTTTGTTTCCTTGGTTCATTTTTTACTTTCTTTTCAGCCAATTCATACTCTTTGGGGTCAAAAACCATATTAGATTTTTTTTCTTTATTATGCTTTGAGATAATTTCAGCATTGCATTGCTGGTCATTCACATTATCTTTCCACATTTTACTACTTCTCTTTTCTTCCTCTTCATTCACTACAGACTGTTTTTTATCAATCTCGCTAACAGGATTCTGTTTTCTAACTTTAGGTCTTACTACCAATTCAGCTGAATTCTCTTGGTCCATCTTCATGCTTGTAGTACTCAGTGCATTACAAATTCCTACATGTGTCCTAATTGTAGACTCAGCTGTATTACTGATTTTCTGTTCTAAATCACAAGTAGAAACACGGTTACTTTTTGCTAAAGTTTCTTCATTAGATATTTTCAAAAGTGATTTATTTTGATAAACAGTATCTGATTCTATGCTAGAAAGTCTTCTAAAAGGCACTAATCTAAGATCTTCAAAACTTTTACTTATGGTATTATGACTGAAACTAGGTAGATGTGACTGCAGATCACTGAAGGAGTCCATATCTTTTTCTAACCTGGAAAGCATATTGTCCAGTTTTTCTTGAAATAGTTCTGTTTCTTCTTTAGCTAATGCGATAGCACTTTGGAAACCATCTTCCTCTCCATCACTGCTGTCTGGTTCATAAGAGTCAATGTTTACAAAGGCAATTCCATTCTGGTCATGAAGATTATTGCACTCTTCAGAAGTAGACTCCTCATTGTCATTAGAATTCTCATTGTTGGCAACATTTTGGTGATCACACAAATTGTAGCATGTTGGAGGAAACATGGAAGTATCTGTGTTGATAGCTTGGCTAGAATCAGCTTCACAAACAGGTTCTTCTGATCCAACATTTGGTAATAATGATGTAGCTACCAATGGAGAACATACTTGGACATGTGGACTGGAACCTTTATGCAGAATTATAAAGAAAGATACAATGGAAGGATAAGGCCAGTTATTGGATTATATAGTAAAACAGACACGTTAAAATCAGTAATTAAAGATGTTGTATCAATCTACAGCTTTTTTTTAACAAACCAGCAAAGTGCTATAGACTCGAGTATAAATCATCAGAACATAATGAATATATACAATAAATCATTAAGAAAAGTGGCCAGGTATCACAATAACTAAGATATTTCTCATTTTCGGAAGAAACTATATTTACAACAATTTGCAATTCTACCTCATTTTTCTATACTACACCAATAGTTACTAATATACCGTTTATTGACATGATTCCAATGGAAAAATAATTTTAAAAGTTTTAAGTTTGTTATGAATAATCAAACACATTGGTGGATACAGCTCCATTGTTCCAATTAGACACATCTTGCCAGCAAAAATTACTAAGTAAATCAGGGATCTTCTCTCATTTTGTTCAGGGATACATAAAAACAAGAATGTTCAGCTTGTTAATTAGCTCAACAAACTATATTAGAATTGTAAAACAGATAATGAAGGATCAGATGCAGCACTAAAAAAATTAATTAGAGTCACTTCAAGGTGAGATGGGCAGCAAACTAATCAATAAATAAGGATAAAGGTTCTTTTTTAAAACAAAAAGAGGTATAAAGAGCAGTTACTAGCAATAAAACAGTGTTCACTACCATACTTGACTATTCATAATAAATCAGCATTTTGACTTGTCTCTACAGCTGACTATGTATTTAAACAATGAAATTATATAATTAATTGTAGCATGCTATATAATACTTCAAAATCATTATATAGTATTAATTTGCTATCTTCATTAAGAATAAACTTGTTCTGAAAATCTTATGCAATTGCCCACTAGTAAAAATAAATTATTTTCTTATAGATTAGAAATAGGGTATTTTATCATTAATATTAAACAGAATCACTCCAAATATATAGTATTTCATTTAACATGGCACAAGTAGTGCCACTACATTGTGAACAGATGTTTCATTGATAAGATTTTATTTGATTCTAGATTTGCTTCCTCTTTCCCTTCATCAAACTTCCTCTTTAATGTTTCTCATTTAGGAAAAAAACATTATGATGGAGTTTGAGGTATTTAGTTACTGATGTTTGCTTCTGATTACTATTCTAATAATACACATAATACTTTTATTGTAATTTACATTCTATATGTTGTGAGTCAGCTTTGGTAAAAGTAATATTATGTAAATGCGTTAAATAACTACAAAGGCACTGAACATAATATTGCTTCTATGACTGCAGTAATACAATTGAGGGATATTACTTTGTACAATTTGATTGAAGAAAACTTCTAATAGCTCTTAGAATATTTAAAATGCAAGCAGATTTAGCAAAACCAATCACAGAGATTTGATAGTATTCAACATAGAAAGAACCAATCATATAATGTTAAAATTTTGAAAGGCAAACTGCCATGAAATATACCAATTAAAGCAACCCTGAAAATAATAATGAATTAGAAATTACAGGTATGGTAGAAAATAATGGATACCCCAAAATATTGATATTCAAAGATACGATATTTGAATGTATAACAAAAGAAATGAGCACTGATGACCTACTTTTATCATCTATTTTATATATGTCAGGCTGACTTAAAAATAAATAATGCAAACCGGGGAGCAGACTTGGATTACAACATAATAACTACATATTATTTAAATAAGGTTCAAATGTATTTATAGATAAAAAAGATCAATACAATATATCTAAATTATGTTAAGTTCACAACATCCTAGCTTTTTGTGCAATGGTTGCCCAAAGTCGAGTTTTCTCTGAATCAAATAATAGTAATTTGTAATTATGTGACACACACACAATAAATTTTCTTTTACAACACTGTCTAGTTCTAATCCTTCACATTCTTCTGTGTGTTGGTTTGAATATCTTTCTTGATTCATCAGAGATGGTCTAAAACTGACATAGGCATGTCTTCTTCCATATCTTCTCCCTGTAATAGTTTGATAGCCTCCTGCTGGTTTTGGCCATGTGGGTTTTCCAGCTTCCTGACCCATCACTGCAAGAGAGGGGGAGAGGGGAAAGGTAGAAAATATAATTCTAAATATAATGGAACATAGTTTTAATTAATTTAATTTTAGTTTTAATACTAAACATGTTTGTGGTATAAATATAAATCCTAACAAAAGAGTATCAATTAAAGCAAATAATCAATTACCACAAGATTTTTTCAATTATTCTAGGGACAGTATTATAAGATTCATGTATATTGTAATATTGGTGAATGCTCTTGGCACAACATAAAGGATTTCTAATTTTTAATATTTTAACATATACTATAAAGTATGCTTTTTTAATTTAGGGGAGCCAGAAAGCAGAATAGAAACTGCCAAACAAACCACTGATCACCTTTCAAATTCTAATGTTAGTACTAAGCAATCTTCCATTAGAGAAAGAATGACTCTACTAGAGGCTATTGCAATGTTTTCTAGCTTTAACCATGTTAGACTTTATAAAAGAAAAGGGAGAAATGGAGAAGTAAAGAAAGTATGTGCATGTGTATGCGTCTCTTTATAAATCTGGGGGCTATGGGAAATAAAATGAAGAGACTTGAAAGTTGGGGACATAGCAAGTGAGCAGATATACTGTACAAGAGTTCCAAACGGAACTAGATAAGTGAAATATTTTATATAAGCGAAACTGGAAACAAACCCATACCAGGCAGATACTAAGCATAAATTTAGTTTATTTATGTAGTTTATATCTGTCTCAATTAGCAAATGGTTTAAAATTGGTTTGCATTATCATAGGAAGATTTTCAATATTGTTATAAAAATTAGTTTGGGTAATGCCCATTTTGAAGATTTACCATTTTGTGATACTATACAGTGACTTATACATTTTCATACTGTACATTAGATAAAATCTTATTGTACAAATAATCTTAGACAAAATATGTAATGAAATATTTTGTTCATATTCCTCAAAATGTTCAGTTATCTTTTGGGTGGAAACACCTCTTAATTTCTCAAAATGTTCCGTATCTATATTTGGAATAATGGAAAAGTACCTGAAAAAATAAATAAACTTTGAAACTGTTTTGTATTGTGAAGGTCAGCAACTGTCTTTCTTTATATTTGAACTTTATTTGTAAATTTATAGACCACTTTATAGTATTTCCACTGTTTTTTAGAAATAATCTTGTAAGATATGTTAGGTTGGGAGATGTTTTTCAAGACATCATTGAAACTTTATAACTATGCATACTATGCATACTGTAGGCATTCTGATGGCAAATATTTGTAATAGCATGTATAAAACCATCCACAAAATCCATCAAGCCCACTAAAAAAATAGGTTGAAAAGATGAAATATGAGTATGTTTTCTTGAAAAATTAAATTTATAGGTAGATTTCACTTCAAAATATTAGAGTAGCATTATATAATTTAAAACTCAAAACTGTATTCCAGTCTTTAGCAGATGCATCAAAACTCTGAGATACAGAGGATGAGGCTAGTTGCCTTTAATCAAAATAAAGCTTCAGACTTTCTTAATTGATCTATTCTTTTAACTGATCTATCTGATACCAGAACTGGAAGAAGTTAACTCTTCAGATAAATAATTCTAAAATTAAGAATTTTGGGGAAAAAGCTATATGTGAAACACAGGAGGAACAACATAAATAAATATATTTATTTCACGATTTAGTTCCTTCTGCAAATTATCATTCTTCCAAATTCACATTATTTATGTGAAGTTATACCTACTCCAAATTGGACTGGATTGGATGGTCTATCACATCTGAATGAAAAAATAATTCACAATTTTTCTAATCCTTTCACCTTTATTGTTGAATTTAAAATGAATTATGTGATATGCACTTTGGGCAGGACGTTGAAGAGAATTTGAATCTTCTCTGCAGGAATTGAAACCACATTCATTTCAAAGGAAAATAACAGAGACGCAACTAGCAAATATATCCAGCTACATATTAAGATGAAGTCTAAATATAATCTTGCTAGTTTAATGAAAAAAATTAATAAGCATATTCTTTGATATTGACTATACAATTTTAATCTATTATATTTAATCTGCATCACTAGTTAATGCTAGTAATATGATTTCTTCTTCATTTCTTCATTCAATATATTATATATTGGATTTATATTCCATCAAATAAAAATTTGTATATATGTCTGTTTACTTAGCATAGATCTATAATGCCATTATATATATTTCTATCAAAAATAAATCTTACTGATTTCAAATTAAGTGCTATGAACCCTTGCCAACATAACATAAACATAACATAAACCCTTGCCAACATTTACTTAACGTGCTTTGATTTCTGTCCACACAACCCACTTTACATTACAATTCGAGTAGTGGAATATGGTATTACAACTGAAACAAAAATGCATTTATAAGACAACTAGTAAGAACATCTAGATCCCACTTGTCCAATAAGTTAACAATTTATGATGTATAAACTGATTGTATAGGTTTAGATAAATTGAACAGTTCAAATGCCCAATGCTTATCAAGGCACATATTTCATGCTCATACTTAATTTGCAGTCATTATCTTTTCTACATCTTGATTCACATCACAATGCCAAATCTGGGGTTCTATGATTACTCCCAGTCCATTTCATCTCTGAATAATTGTCCATACACTGCAGCTAAAGTGGTTTTCTGAACTTTGATTTAACATTAACCAAAGATAGCCAAGGAATAGAGGAAGGAAGAGACCACTCCAGATAAAAGATTCCTCTCAAGAGAAAATCTATATAAGCTTATGATGTGTTTTCAATAGCTTTCGTTGCAACATCTGAACTGGCTTTTATATGTAGAAAGTTGTTCCTGAGTTCATGTATATTTTCATCAAAGTCTGATTATTTCAGAATACCTACAATTCAGCTGGGTCCTGTAAGAAAGTACTTCAGTCTGAGCCATATTTTCCCAGTATCTCTCTTTCTGCCATCTGTTTGTCCATCTGATCTATCATTTTATTTGTCCATGAAACCTGTATGATGCCAATCACATGGTTTTAATTAGCACCTTTTAAAAAATTTTAAAAGTACCTTTTATTTAAAAAAAGTACCTAAAAGAAATGGTACATTGCAATTAAATTGTCCTTTGCTTTTTATAAGCATTATTCTGTTTTCTACAGAAATCTAAATATATTGACCGTATGGGGAGCCAGAATGGTAAGTATTTTACCAGAACATTTCCAATGATGATAATCCATATGAAATTCAATTGTTTGGTTTTAAAAATGTATGGACATTATCCATACATTAATAACATCCATTCCTAAAGAATGCAATGACTTGGGTTCTAAACTGAATATTTAATAAAGTAGACTGTTTGACAAGGTAAATGATAAATTGAATTATATTATTTATATGGACAATCATATAAAATTACTTAATAAATAATAGTAAATCATTTATTGTGATGACAGTGGAATAATAATATACAATGGATCAATATAATTGTATATATAATAATTGTATATATAATAATATAAAATGGATCAATATAAATGATCAAATGAATACTGTACAAGAATATTAAATATTAATATTAATTATTAATATTAACCTTCAAGCTATCTAAGTATTCATATTAAGTATAATTTGTATTTTTAAAATTAGTACAATAAGATTAATTACACTTTAATTAAACACCTTAAGTCATCTGTTTCAGATTACATAAAATTTGCCATTAGATATTACTTCAAACTATCTAGTTATTCATGTTAAGTATAATTTGTATTTTTAAAATTAATAAAATAAGATTAATCACATTTTAATCAAGCAAAAAATGTTGACTGTTATTTCTTGTTACTTCTTATACTGAGAATTGTAAGATGACCAAAACACTATATAATTTAATATCTGAAATCTACCCTTTCCAGACCATACAGTGGAACAATCGTATATTCCTAGTCACACAGACATGGAGTTTCATACAGAGGCACTCAAATATGCTGGTTTTGGAGATTAGGCTCAGGATTATTTAAAACAGTTGGGCAATAAATACATCAGTAAACTACATGCTACAGTTTACATGGTGTCTTGGATCAGCATAAATACAGAGGGCATTTATATCTTTTAAAGCAAAGGCCTATCTTGGTGCCATAACACATATAATTAAAGAGAGCTTTGGTTTAGGAAATGTACAGATACTATATGAAAAATGTACTGGTAAGTCCAGATTTTCTGTGGGGTCTCCCTCTCCTGCAAAGCAAATGGCAAGAATTCTTTTTCTGTATGTCCCCATATCCGTGCCTTCATCTAATCTCCTGTCCATGAGTAAAACAGGCTTATAGGTAAAACCTTCCCTAAATATATTTTGTTTTCCCTCTTAAGTTGGTAACATCCGGAGACATCGAGATGTGTAAAATCTATCATGTTTTGTTACTCCTCACCTTAGAGTTGCAGTGATTGAAACAGAACCAAGAAAGGCAAGCTAGAGACGGGGAATAGTAGGGAATGAGAATAGCAAAATTCATACCAGTATAGCCTTCTGCTGACTCAAAATTAGGGGAAGGGAAGGAATAGTACTATAATTCTAGTACTATAATTCAGTGATGCGATCTATACTTGAAAAATAAGGAATTGCTCTTTTTTGCCAAAAATATGATAGATCTTTTGCATAGTTTCTTAGAGTTTATTTTCCTAGGGTTTACTAGTTTATAGCATTTGAGCTATTAAAAGCACACCTTAGAATTTTTTTTCTAGTAAATGAACAACAGTCAGCAGTCTCTATTTGTTCCCAGCTGATTAGTTAGTGCATTACTGGAGGATGAAAAAGTTATTCCAGTTTACACTAATTTTCCTCTGCAATCCACTTTCATGTGACTTTTATAACCTAGTGATACAATGGTAGCTGGTAAGTTTTCCATCACCCAAAAATGTCCAGTTATTTAACAAAAACAAAAACAAAATGCTTTTATTTACTGGAATTATGTGAAATGTATAGTTTTGGATTAACAGGATGAATATTTATTTATTTTTAAATTGAGAATACTCTGGCTCTGATCTCTCTGGGCACAATGCAGAAGCAAATTAATTGTAAATATGCATTTTGCATTAGTTGAAAAATGTTGGATTTTCATTTTTAAAAAGGTAGCTGGGAAAGCTTGAAACTTCACTCTCAAACTACATGTAGTTCTCACAATGAATGAATAGAGGATTTTGTTTTGATTCAGCATTTTCTAACCTGCTGATTTACAGATATACTGTGAATACAACCATAGAATTCCCAGCGTATCAACTGTCTGATAACTCGAGTTACAATATACCTGCAGGGTATTTCCAGATTACTGTTTAATCTAATTATTATATCCTAGACATCTTGTATCTGCATAGACCAGAGGTACCAAACTATTTCTTTGAGGGCCAGATCAGCATTGTAGTTCTCTACGGGACGGGGGGGGGAGCAGGTGGAGAAATGGGATGGATGCCTCCTACAGCACCCTGCCAGCCAAAATGGGGCACGGAGGGGGCCACGTGGCCTTCCATGCCCGGTTTTCAGCCTGGACGGCCTTCTGCAGCACTTTGCCAACCAAAACTGGACACTGGAAGGGGGGCATGGGCAGCCTACTTGTGCCTCATTTTTTGCCTCCATGGTCTCCTGCAGCACTCTCCCGGACAAAAATGAGCCACATGGAGGCCCCACAAGGCCTGTTTTCAATGTCCCCGGCCTCTAGCAGCACTCTGCCAGCTGAAAACGAGCCACATGGAGCACCCCCCGGCCCATTTTGGCTAGCAGAGATACTGTGAGTCGAATCCGGCCCGTGGGCTGGTCCTTTGATATTCTAGGCTGGCCTTGAGTTTTATATCCCTGGCATAGACTGTTCACCTTAATAGGACATTGATCAATAGTATAGCATACTATTAACTTATAATATTCTATTTGGATAATACCCAGTACTTAAATTCTTAGTACTTACATACTTTTCTAATCCTCAGGATCTTAAATACTGACCTAATCACACTGAAAGTCTGGAAATAATAGATCATCTGGGAATTAATAGGCATCTGGTGAATCTGGTTGATCCAAGTGATTAGATTTGGCATACATATAGTTTCTGTTATAGACAACATGGATTAGAATCAACCCATTCTCATATTTATATCATCTCAAAAGTATTTTGAATTATCTCCACTGATCAGAATATGCAGTTTTTGAGGGAAGATCCTTCCTCGCCCATTGTATGGAAACTAAGCGACTTCAACTCTATCTTACCAGGTTCATTCATTTTGTCCAATTATGATAAAGGTGGTCTTTCACCCTGCTTTAAAGTGCAGGCAGTCCTTACTTAATGACCACTTGTTCAGCAATTGTTTGACACTGTAACAGTATTGAATAAGTGGTAGCTCTGTCTGCTCCTCAAAAGTTCTGGCTGTTGCAGCATCCCTGCAATTACATGGCTACGACTTTTACTGGTTTCCTACAAAGTCAATTGTGAAGTTGGCAGGAAATCACAAACGGTGACTTTGTGACATCCTCTCTTAATGACAGCATGGGATTTGCTTAAAAAGGTACATTTTTAATAAATCCTTTCAATAAACAAATAAAATTTATAACCACCATTTATTTTTCACTTTATAGCCAATTTCCTGTCTTTAGCAGTTTGCCTTTGAATTGGGTATTCCAAAACTGTAATTAACAAGTTGTACAGCCTGAAAGAGTTGAAAAATTATACTTTCAAGCACATATAAATGGCTAACTCTTTTTTTCTACGTTTTCCCTATAAATCTTTTAGAACTTTACTTTGAAAGTAAGTTTTCCTTCTGAGACATTTCTTTAAAGAAAATGTCTTAATAAAATGTCTTGTAGAACATTTACAAGAAAATGTCTTGTAAATCTGTTCATACTCTCTTTTAAGATAATATTTTCTTATATCAGTTCTTATATCAGTATAAAAAAATCTTGTATCTTATTTTACACAGCTTAAAATTACTGGAACATTTACACTGAATTACAGCATATAATATTTCACTGTTGCCAGCTAAAAAGTGAAATGCTCTTATAACTCCAGCATCAGCCATTTTGAGATAACTATTTTTATTACACTGCTCTCCTTCCAGGCAATTTCATTTTAATTTTTGTAAAAAATATTGTACACAACACACAAATGCATGTTAAGTTTAAATCACCACAAAAGGTACATAAGTGCCTAACATCTTATCCTGATACTTTCATTATTTATTATGCATTAATTCATTTTGTAATATTTCATTGATTCAGGTTATATGCTATTAGGTCCAATACAGACCTATTGCCTCCTGCATCCTCTCACATTAAAATTTCTTGTGGGGTCTTCTTTCTCTAACCACTCAGTTTTAGAGCCTCAGCAGAATCATTTACATATCTGTGTTTCAATATGGATTTCATGCAATATATGAAGTTATTCCTGATACAACAATTATGTAGTTATTTATTTCTTTTGCATATTTTCTGTATATTATAAATATCAAGCCAGTCATGGCTTGGATCAGTATGTATTTCAGATATACCTAAATCTCCAAAAACTGCTTTCCAATAATTACCAAGAAAAAATGGATATGTTATTTACTAAAGCTGTGTAAGCACAAAACAGCATTATGTACTTTTACCACCATGTGAACATATTAGAATTGGGAGAACCTTACCTTCATTTTAACTGTGGCAAAAGAATAGGTTTAACACTCTAAGCATAGATCTTAGAGTGTTAATTGAACTTAATAAAACCTGCTCCATATCAACTGACCATCATATAGCAGTTTTTACTACTAAAACATTTAATGCAAGTGCACTATAAAGGTAAATGTAAAGGTATCCTCTATCTAGTTGTGTCCAATTCTAGGGGGGAAGTGCTTGCTATAAGGGGCCGTGTTCATCTCCATTTTTTAGCTGAGGGACCCAGCATTGTCCAAAGACATTTCTGTGATCATGTGTCCAGCATGACTATACGTGGAGTTGCAATGAATGCTGTTACCTTCCCACCTAAGTGGTGGTACCTCTTTATCTATTCGCATTTGCATGCTTTCAAACTACTAAGTGAGCTGGAGCTGGGGTGACCCCATTATGCAGTGCTCAGGTCTCAAACCTGGACTGTCAGGTTTCCAGCTGACAAGCTCAGTGTCTGTAACCGTTGAGCCCTCCCTCCCCAAGTGTATTAAATGCAGGATACACTCTGCCACATTATAAATGAACATTTGAAAATGCATCTTCAATTTAGACATTTTAAAAATTAAGAAGAACAATACCTGATTAAGCACAGCACCCACTTTCCATTTATTAAAAATGTGCAATTTTTAGAAGATAATGCAATTAATCAAAATCAAATGAATGTATAAATACAAACAAGCTTTCTCATTTTTATTTTAACCAGTACACCAAACCTTTACCCATATATTTCTTATTTTCAGCTAAGGGGGGAAAAAGAACGTTAAACGCATTTTTCTGAGATAATGCCTAACTTTAAATATCCTCAATTCTGATTCATGGATGACATAAGTCATCAGTTGCTTATCACATAGAATCATTTTATAAAAGAACATAACCTTTTCTGACAAAATATTGGATCACAGAGCTTGATGGTAGAGTGAAAACAAAATGTTTAGCAAGACTTAGAATAAATGTTCTGATATTCTTTGAAATATTAGTTAATGGCTAGTTTTGATTGGTAAAGAGCTAAAATGATATACACGGAACAAATATGGATTAGGAAAATAGAATCAATCTATGTACATTTTGCTCAAATGCATAAAGCTTTATGAATGGATAGATGATATAAGCCAAAGTGGATAAGAAATATCTATCCTATATACAGGCACAAGATGTAAAAGGGGGTGGGGGGATGATTCAGAACTGTTTGACTAGCAGGATTTAATATGCACAAAACTGATGTGATGGGGGTCAGTCTTTTTTTCTATGTACCCAAAAGTTTTAGCCATCTCTTGATAAGATTGATCTGGTATCAAATTAGAGAAAATATTTTGATGTGAAAAGAATTGTAGAGACACTGTATACATGTCTGTCCTAATGATAATGAAAGAGACGGATAAAGGAGAAAAAAACAGACTTATGCCCTTCCAGGCCGCTTAAACCAATTTCCCTCTGCCTACCTGGTTTCTGGTGTATGGTAAGCAAACCCTTCAATGCGGAAGAGAGCCATTCGGTTGGTTCTGACCTAAACTGACCAATTGAGAACACATCTCCGATCTCCCCAACCCAGCAGCAGCCTGGAAAGAGTCCAAGCCTGGCAAAGCTGTCAAGTGAACCTCACCCCACCGCATTCTCCCCGTCTTCCCATTGACCCGAATAAAGGCTCTTTTCAGAAGCCAGGTCAGGGTTCAGCTCTTCAGCTCCGCAAGCCGCCCTCCCCCTTCTCCCCTGCCTGCCAGGATAGGATGCCGTGTCGTGCAACCCTGTCACCGCGCCCTCCCGACCGCTTCCTCCCCTCAGCTCAAGTGATCCTGAGGATCAGCCTCAGAATAACCCAGGGCATCAGTCCAACCGCTCACCCTCTCTCGGGCTGCGGCGACTAAGAGCAGCTCGAGGCAGGGAGAAAGCCGGCCTGGAAGGCGCGGCCTGCTTTCCCTCCTCCAACACAGGCCGCAACGCCGAGACAGGTAGGTGGCGGAGGACCAACCCGCGCCCCCGCCTTCTTCCCACCCACCACATGGGCAAATGCATCTCCGTCCCGTCTCTCGTCCAGCCATCGGAGGCCCCCAAACTCTGGACGCAGCCACTTACCTGCTTCCCAAGCCAAAGGCCGAGAGGGCACCACCAGCGGCAGTCGCAACACACGCACACATACACACAGAGGGTCTAGGGATTGAAAGCTAGCCGAGCCAATCCCGCCCGCGGCCTGGGCAATGCCGACCAATCCCGGCTCTCACCTCGCCGACAGGGGCCAATCGAGGAAGAACATAAGATAAAGATTGGATGGAGCAGCCCGGCTCTCTATGGGCTGGGCTGGGGGTGTGGGGTGTGAGGGTTGCGGATGTCTGTCCCCACCGCCTTTCTTGGGCCCTCGCCGCTTTCCTTCCGCATCCGCGACTCCACTTATTTGGAGCGATGCACAGCCTCGCAGAGCGCGCAATTCTCCTCTCGCCTCCCTTCCCCCCCTCCCCGGGACGCCTAGAGAGGATGGGCGGCTTGCTGTCATCTCAGCCAGAATCGCAGGACCGAAAGGGGCCATTTTGGCTAGTCCCTGCGAAATGTAGGAATACAGCTTAAAAGAAAGCCCTCTGTCCTGCAGTGAAAAACCCAGCCGCCTAAGTAACTGGCTGCACTGTCAAGTTCAGTCTTAGGAAGTTCGTCTTGGTATCTAATCAGAGTCCGCCTTCTTATAAATATTGATAATAAAAAAACCACCATTACGTGTCCAGCTCTCTGGGAGATAAAGAAAATATACTCGATCTGTGTGATTCTTCTTAAGTTATTTGGGGAGCGCTGTCTTCTTTCCCCTCAGGCCATCTTGACCAATAAAGTTTTTATTGTTCAGCAGCGAATTCTCTGGGAATTCAGGCAGGAGTTTTTCCGATGCCCTCGTGTCAAATCAGCAGAAACAAAACTTTATATAAAATGTAATAACATCACCGGAAGCCACTGCTACAAATTAGGCGTAGATTATTCTTGAATATTTTGGCCAGCCTCCACCCCTCATGCCCCAAATGTTCAATGTCTTGATAATACATCCTCTAATCCCCACTCCTTTAACCTCAAACTATCCACCATTGACCTCACCCCATTCCTAAGAGGTCTGTCTGTAAGGGGCATACATAAGTGCACAATCATGCCTGCCATCCCTGTCCTTTTGTCCCCATTTATTTGTACCTATTTCCTGTATTCTTACTCATGTTTATACTTATACCTATTATCTTGTAAGCGATTGACAAATCAAATAAATAAATAAATAAATAAAAATTTCTACATCCTGGTGTATAATGAGGAATACATACAATGTTATGCAACTATCGGCCTAAACAGTCCTATCGATTTAAGTCCCAAATGTGGCAAAAATAAAACAAGTCCAAGCCTCCATCCAATTAAAAATACAACTCATGATTTTTTTTTTCTAACAGCAAGGTAATTTCATCCAAGTTTTTAAAGTGTTCAGTACACATGAATATTCCTTCAGCTTGTGCATGGTCATTTTTCTTTAAATATGTCAGTGATCAAATAAGTCTTAATTTCAAAATCAGGCAGCTTTACATGTCAGTGGTGAAGAGACTTAAAAGAAATTTTCTTTCCCTTAACACCTAATTTAGCTTACAGTAAGAATGCATAGTCAGGAAGAATCGCTTTATACAGATAATTTTCTGCCTGTAACTAGGACATCTGAAATAGACTCTGTGGCTTTTTGAAAATATAAAATACATAGGTTGAAAGGCATTTTTCTTCTAGTATAAAATAATGGCAATTAGAAAACTGATCAATTCTCCACATCATGGAAAAACAAGTATCACCTTGATGCTACTAGGAAATACATAAATTGCCTTGTAGTAGGCCAAATTATTTAGACACCGAGAAAGCTCTCTGGTCAACACTGTATAACACTAGTACTTGCAATCTGATGTTTGTTTTATTAGAGATCCAAAGATTACACTGCAGACCTACATGCAAAACAATTTTAGTCTATACTCTATAACTAAGCTATAAATAAACCTATAAAACATTTGATGATATTGCAACAATACCATAATATTTTCCTGCTGCTACATTTACTTTGTTTTTATACCATCTACATAAGTAAGGGAATAGCAAATAGTTTTTGTTTTGTTTAGTTCAGATAAAGTATGTAGAATTAAAAGAAGGCATAAAAAGAAGGTTAGAAACATCTCACTTCCATTTCTCTGCAGATAAATGCTATTTATCAAATTTATAATAAAATTGAAGTCTTCTTTGATCCAGGTTCACTTCTGGTCATTCGTGTTTACAATCAGAGTTTTCTTGGCAATAAGATATAAATGATTTGCCAGTCAACCTTATAATCCTGGTACTCCCAAGAGTTCATTCAGCTACTAATCTGATCTAATCCCATTTCAGACACTTTTACATGACCATCTAATTGGGGAGAGAAACAGCTTGTGTTTCAGGAAGATATAAATGGATGAACTTGTTAACTCGTTAACCCACCATGAAGGCAACCTCAGGTTTTCCTGTTCCAGTCTTAAGGTCATGCTTCCTGCCTTTAGCCAATAGAAACCTAGCTACTTGGAAAATTTGTACAGTAATACCTTGGGGGTAAAATTAGGAATGAGAACCTGCCCTACTTTTAATGGCTTCCTAAGGCTGCTGGAGGCATGTGTATACCCCTCAATTTCTGATTAGTGTTTCCCAGATCAATATATCTTTGGGCAGGTGTGGGAGAAAAGGAAGTAGTTTTTTTTAACCTCTTTACTCACCAACATTCCTAATAAAGCTGCCCCATCCACTCTTAGCACTGCTAGATGCATCAAAAACACGCAACACCACATCTCATGCTATCAGTTCTCTGATCCCAGTCAATTGGTCAGACTAGAGTTAGAACAGTGGTCAAGAACTGGTAGGCTACAGCCCACTGGTGGGCCATGAGAAAATTTTGGTGGGCCGCAGAGAAATGTCCCCCCCAAAGCACCCCCCAAATCCCGCCCACCCACTGGCTCCCACACTTCGGCCGAGCACAAACCTGCAAAAAGCAGCACAGCTCTCGCCGGGCAGGACGAGGTAATGGTGCTATTGCAGCAACAGGTGGGCTGAAGCAGCAATGGAGATGGCCGGAAGGTGCAGGAACGCCGCACTACTTGCATTTGCGCGGCACTCCCGCAGCTTCCAGTTTGCCTTTCCTGGCCTGGGCTCTTCCTTGATGGCCATGGGCTGTAGGGACGGCCCAGGGCAAGAAAAGTACTGGCTGGTGGTGGTGGGAGGGGGCAGAGTGGGCAAGTCTGCGCTCACCATCCAGTTCTGAGGTCTGGAATGGGGTGTCAGCATCAGTTTCCTCATCCCTCTTGGTGCTCTGCTCTGCTGCCCATCCCCCACGGCCATCACTGCCCAGGGAAAGCACAGGAAAAGCAAGCAGAAACATAGCTCTTGCTGGGGCAAAAGAGCTGAGATCGAGGAAGGCACAGGCAAGAGAAGACAGAAGCTGCTGCCTTTGAAAAGTGCTGCTTTCTGTTGCCTGTGCCTTCTGATCTCTGCTCTTTTGCCCCAGTGAGAGCTGTTTCTGCTTGCTTTCTTTTCCTTGGAGGGGGGTGGCAGCAGAGATGTCAGGGCTGCTCTTCCCCCTCAGCAAGCCAGGACTGGAGGAATGTGAAGAATTGTGTGCAAGCGCCGGAGTAAGGCATGTTGGAAAAGCCAGCACACCTTTCCAGTGCGCTCTCCTCTGTCCCAAAGTGAGATTGAGTGGGGGGAAGGGTAGGAGGGAAGGAGAAGCCCGGCTGGCTTTCCTTTGGCATGGGGTGGGGGTGGGGAGACCAAATGCCCAGACCAAAAGAGCGCTGAGGAAGACAGGCTCCTAATAACCAGCCTGTTTGTGCAGGCGAGAGCTCCAGCTTATCTGGACTCGACACACGCACCCCTTCAGCCTTCACAGGGAGGGATCCTTCTCTGCTTGGAAGCGACAGGAGAAACCTGGAGCTTAGCCTCGGGGAGTCCTCTTCTTATGTGGAGGCTGAAGGGGAGGTGTTGCTTGGTAATTAGGAGCCCGTCGGTGATTCCACTCTGGCTCTCCTTCCCTCCCCCAACTCCAGGAAGGCACGCCTGGCAAAGAAGGGAGAGGTTTCCTCTGACTTGGGAGAGATATGAGATAGCTCTGCTTTTCTTCTATTTGAGGGGGAGCTGGTTCCTCCCCGTCCAGATCTTCCCAGCCTCCAGGCACCATGTGGCTTCTTAAATCCTCCCTCTTTCCCACCCACAAAGAATGAGAGATGCCCCTCCTTTCCCTTCACTCTGCCCTACAGTTATGATTAAGCATTTATGATTTTGTTATAATTAAATAAGCATTTGTATGTGTGTGTGTGTGTGTGTGTGTGTGTAACATTTTTAATATTAAATTTATATTTAATATAAAAATAATTTTTATATTAAATATATTATCTTTTTTAAAAAAAATGTATTAGTGGTCCTCGGGATTTAAAATTATGAGTTTGGTGGTCCCTGAGGTTGAAAAGGTTGGCAACCCCGGAGTTAGAAGTTAATGTTGCTGGATTGTGCAAATGGATCAGAGAGTTGAAAATGCATTGAAGCATACAGCTGATAACATAAGCATCAACATGAATATTAGCATTAAGCTTTAGACTACAACATACATTATATGGTGGAAAGATGCATAGAAAAATGGCAAACAAAAACATTTGGATTAAATTTTAAAACACACTTTTTAATTTTACGAGATCTTTAAAAATGAAGGCAAAGGAAAGGCACACATAAATACATTTATAATCACCTTATTTATTAAAAAATGAATTTTCACATATTTAAACACAGGAGCATAGAAAGAAGTGATTAGTCAATTAGGGCATCCCTGCATTTTCTGACAAATTAATTAGTGGATGCTGTAGAAAATTTGAGAAATGCTGGGAAAGGCAAAACTCATATTACTTACCCTTAGGAATGTATAACCTGATGCCCAAGGATACTACTGCTCCTAAAAACCCTGGTGCCGCCTCCAAACGTTGCCACCAATTTAAATACATGGGGTATAATGATTTTAATGATATTTGATTGAATTATTATTTTGGACTACTTGTATCTTGTGTGAAACATTCGTATCATTATTAAGTATATCAAGAAGAGCCTTCCTCAAGCAAATATTTTACATTTCAGTTCCAAAAAT